AAAAAATAAAAAAAAACTTTCCGCAGAATTAGGGAAATCGTCTGTACCTCACGAGTACCCCATTTGAAAATTAAGATATGGCAGCCCTGCTTAAATCCTATCGAGTTAGCTTGGGCCAATATGAAAACATACATACATGATAGAAACACGAAGTTTACCTTGACCGAAGTGATCAAACTCGCACAAGAATTGATAAATAATTTATATGCGAGAGAAGCAACCAGTTATGTCAATTACGTTAAGCAATGTGAGAAAGCATTTAAAAAGGCCGATATTTATGTCGGAGAAATTGAAGAAGAATTAAATGATGATTACGACGAAGATAAATATAGTGCCTATAGTACAGATACAGATGATGAATGATCTGCATGCTGATTTTGTGTAAAAAATTTGCTATTGTTTTGAATTAATGGATTTGGATTCAAAACATTTTTTCGATGAAAAGAAAAAAAGAAGCTGATCAATAAAAGTACTTAAAGATACTGGTTAATTACCATTAAAAATTATACATTGAGTTTGGTTTGATGATATTTTAAGTAAAAAAAAGACTCTGAAAAGTAATAAGTTATGTCACGAAATTAAAAAATTGATGAGCGTTACACAAGAAAACATTTTTTATTCGCTCAAATTTTGAAGAAAAACTGATCACTAGCCTTCAGTAAAATCTTTGTAGTTTTGGAATGGGAAAACAGCTATCGATCTCGGCCTTGCGTGGATTGATGGAGGTGAAAGTATGCTATCTATCCACTATATTATAATTAAAAAAGCATCTTGTATTTATGTCACTTTTAGCTCATCTTCAAAATTCATAGTGTATGCAAAACAAAAAGTGATCGAATTTTTTCATTGATCTTATGAAAAGATAGAGCAGCCTCGGCTCTAGCTATGGCTAAAATATCAGCCTTTTATCTCTTGTTATCGCAGAGTTATTTAAAAAATGCCCACGGTCACTTATCCCTGAAATGGACCTTAGTCCGAAATCGTTTGAAATCCTTAGTACCCGTCTGAAATAGAATTTAAATTAAAAAAGAAAGAGCGTCTGTGATGCGGCATCTATCAAGATCTGGTCCTATGTAGCGGTCTAGTACGAACCAGTCTAAATGATAGAAATATGTGCAGAAAGTTAGATTTGAACATGCATACTATATATTACTTACCCATTGTTTATCCGATTGAACCATATGATCCAGTGATCAACTTTTACATGCCAATACACATTCTAAGAAGCTGATTAATACTGTCTGACTTGGATGTTTTCTCAGGTTTTAATGTTAATAAAAAAGACTTATTATAAAATCGAAAATTAGTTAAATAGGGCTAAACAAAATTAATTCAGAATTTTTTTTAATATCCTTCAATAGAAAATTTTTTTTGATCATCAACGTTTGGGAAATATTATTTTCTATTTGAAAAACAATTAATATTTCAAAACAAAATAAAAATAATATATATTTCCAAAAAAATCTTGTTTTTCGTATCATGGTTTACGTTTATGTTGATTTACAATATTTTCGATTTAAATTTAAAAATAAACTATAATTCTATGGTTTAAATCTATTTTTAACCTCAAATCATCAGATTTTATATTAAAATAAAATAATATTCTCATCGAAAAATACTAAAATTAATTTTTCTAATAAAATTATTCTTAATTGTTCTTATAATCTAAAAATTCGTTAGATACTTCATTCTAGTCTCGATACGAACAAGTCTAAACGAGTTGTCAGGATAATTAATTTCAAGTAAAAGAAATTGTTTGAAGAGTCTAGACTATTCAGATAGTTAATATTGTGAGATTGAATGTTCGAATCCATCTATCGTCTCCTTTTCTTCTGACTTTTGTCGTTACGCTGATGCGTCTGGACTGTATAAACATATAAAACGGACTAGTCATGACAGAGTCAGAGCATGTTTCGGACTAGTCTATATTAGGTTGCAAGACGCTGCTCGTCAAGACAACCAGTCTTGACGGACTGCAAGTCATTTCAGACTATACCAAACAGTAGCACGGACATTTTAGACTAGTCATGTCGAGCGTTCTTCCTTATTTTTTGCTTGCCTGGGCAGCAATAATAGATATCAATCAATTTTTTAGTGATTTAAAATCGATTAAAATCTGATTTTTGACATGGTTTTTTTACATGGGTTAAACACTGATAACAAAAACTCGATACGAATATTAAGTAAAAATAAAACTAAGAACGGTTATTATCATATTCAATCATTTTTCATAAAACAGCGAATAAAACTAAAACCTGTCTATTGAAAATGTATTACCTACTTTTAGCCTTTATAAGTTTCAAAAGGAAATCTTTTTTATTAGTCATGTTTTTATAGCGTCTTTCAAAGAAAAAGAATATTGACAGACAATATATATGAGTCTCTCTAAATTTTGAATAGGATTCCGATAACTTTCATTATACTGATGGCGCCATATGGTGTCAATTTATCATACTTCAGAGTTATGAGTTACGTCATTTTTCCATACATATTAGTGATCCTTGAACAAATAAAAGAGTACATACCAACGAGCCAGTACTTTGAAAGTAATTATTCTCTAACCTAGTCTGCATATAAAAGAGCGACCATAGATATGGCACATAGAATATTCTGTAAAACAAAGACGCAAATAAAAGTAAAACGAATTCTATTATTCTGTTCTCCTATATAAAAATCTTAATAACTACCAGGAAAGCAAGTCACAGAAAGAAAACACACGTAATATAACTTATTGCATTCTTCTCGTGAAATGTTGAACAAATGTATCAGAAATAAATCATGGAAAAATTAGACTAAACTGTCCAGTGAAAAATTTCAGGGATTAATATCGATTAAAATCAAAAAATCCTGTGGACGTAATTCAAATTGAAAATCGGATTTTTGTGAGACGTAATCGAAATTTCAATCAGCTATAATCTAAATTATAATCAACACAAATCGATTATCAGAAACTTTTAATTGATTTCCATTGATTATAATTTAGGTTGTAATCAATTAAAATTTCGATTTTATTTCACAAAAATCTGCTTTTCAGTTTTGATTTTTATCTGATTATAACTGGATTTATTCATACAAAAATCCGATTAATGATTGAGATTTCGATCGAATAATAAGTCCACTTGTAACGTATTATAATATGGCGTTTGTTTTATTAGAATTCGAAAGATAGTCATTATGGCAGGGTGGGGGTGTGGGGTGTGTGGGTGTGGGTGTGGGTGGGTAGGTGTGGGTGAGGGTGTGGGTGTGGGTGTGGGTGTGGGTGTGAGTGGGTGGGTGTTGGTGTGGGTAAACAGATGAAAACTCACACCCACACCCACACCCCACCCACACTCACACCCAAAAATATGAGTTGACAATAGAAGATTAATTTGTGTCATAGAGATAGAATAATCTGTTTTCCTACTGAGCTACCTACCTTGATGAAACTCTAAAATAGAGTCCGAAAGCCTCGTAATTTGTTTTCATTACTATTACAACAATGATATCTACTATTAGGATGGGAATTCCTTTGAAAATAATTTGTGAAGGTTGTAGATTATTTATCATATTTTTGATCTTGCCAATCGTTTGTTTGGACAACTAATGCAAATTATATGATGCAATCCTAAAGTAGTCTCGAGAAAGTCCATACTTTGATTGAGATATTCATTTTCAAACGTAATATATGCAAACACAGAAATCAAAAGACAAATACACATAGGGTTATCAGAAATATTAGTAGTACAAAGTAGAAATTTTAAAAACAAGGAATAACACAAAAAGAAATGCAAGATAGAATTTACAACGTTAACAAGTCTGTAAGAAAATTCTTAAATTGTCGGTACCTTTGTTGGCCACTGCAAAATCAAGTTTTTCATCATTGTTAAAATCACCAACAGAAATCGAGTGCGGAAGAGATCCATAACCAACCGAAAAAAACTCTGCCTCTGCGAATGAGCCATTACCATATCCAAGCAATACGCCTATATTGTTGGTACCGTAATTGACGACGATAATGTCTAGTAAACTGTCGTTGTTAAAATCACTAACGGCAACCACATTGGGTAGAGATTTATAGCCAGTCCAAAACGTTTTTTGGCTTAGAAAAGAGCTATTCCCATATCCAAGAAATACACCAACATTTTCGTTCTCATAATTAGCAATGACGATATCAAGTATGTTATCCTGGTTGAAATCGCCAGTTGCAATCGAGATTGGAGTAAACTCAGTTAATAATGATATTCCATCAGTGAAAGAATAATTACCATGTCCCAGAAAAATACTCACTGTGTTAGTGCCAGAATTTGCAACTACAATGTCTATTTGACTGTCATTGTTAAAATCTCCAAAAGCAAACGATCTCGGTCGAGATTTATTGCCAGTTATGAGTGTCGTTTGTTTTTCCAAACCGTAATTGCGATATCCAAGAAGTAAAATTATAGTGCCACTCCATAAATTACCAACAACAATATCCGATCGAGTGTCATTATTGAAATCTCCAACAGCTACAGAGTTTGGATAAGCATCAGTTACATATGCGATTGGATTTGCAAAAGAACCATTCCCGTATCCGAACAATACAGTTACAGTATTATCACCACAATTAGTAACGGCTATATCCAATTGAACATCGTTATTAAAGTCAGCAACACCTATAGAACTTGGAGAAGCACCAGTTGAAGATGTTGTTTGATTTGCAAAAGAGCTATTGCCATAACCAAGAAGCACACTTACGGTGTCGTCATACGAATTAGCAACGACGATATCCAATAGTTTGTCGTTGTTAAAGTCGCCAACAACCACAAATTCTGGACGATTACCGGTTGAATGTGTTGTTTGATCTGCAAAAGAACCATTCCCATAACCAAGAAGCACACTTACAGTGTTGTTATACGAATTAGCAACGACGATATCCAATAGTTTGTCGTTGTTAAAATCATCAACAGCTACAGAGCTTGGACCAAGTTCAGTTGAATATATCGTTTGAGGTCCAAAAGAGCCGTTGACATATCCAAGAAATATACCTACTGTGTTGTCAAGTAGATTAGCAACCACGAAATCCAATAGAGAGTCATTATTAAAATCACCAACGGCTACAGACCTTGGCGACTTGCCTGTTGAGTATGTCGTTTGATGGTGAAAAGAACCGTTGCCATATCCGAGAAGTATACTTACAGTATTGTTCTGTGTATTAGCAACGATGATATCCAACACTCTGTCTTTGTTAAAATCACCAACAGCTACAGAAAGTGGACCAGAGCCGGTTGAATATATTGATTGATGTGCAAAAGAAGCATTACCATATCCCAGAAGTATACTTACATCATCGTCGTACATATCGGCAACGACAATATCCAATAATGTGTCATTGTTAAAATCGCCAGTAGCAACTGAACATGGTCGAGAACCGGTCGAATATGTTTTTTGTTTTCCAAAAGATTTTGTGTCATGTGTAACAAGTACATCGATCTCATCGGTGTCATCATATGCGACAACAATTTCTAAATATCCATCATTATTAAGATCGTGAGCGGCAATAGCCAATGGAGTGGAATTAAAACCATTGCCATAATTGTCTTGAATGTTAAACGCTCCTTTTCCATTCCCCAGAAATAAGTCAATAGTTTTAGTACCACGATTGGCCACTGCAATATCCATTTGACCATCTTTATCAAAATCACCTGTGGCAATCGAGTAGGGACGAGAATTCAAACCCGTTGAGAACATCGTCTGATTTCCAAAGATGCCATTGCCAGATCCAAAAACGATACCTATGGTATCCGTACCATAATTGGCAACGACGATATCCAGTAGACTATCATTATTGAAATCACAAATGGCAACACTTTGCAAACGAGAACCATTGCCAGAAGCAAATGTAATACCATCTGCTAGAGCTCCTGTGTCATAATTAAGCAGAACACTTATATTGTGATCAAAGTTATTAGCAACTACGATATCCAATAGTGTGTCATTGTTAAAATCACCAACAACGACGTACAGTGGATTGACTCCAGTTGAATATTTCCTTTGTTTTTCGAAAGAGCCATTGCCATATCCTAGCAGCACACTCACATTACGACTATATACACTAACAGCGACGACATCCAATTGAGTATCGTTATTGAAATCACCTATAGCTATAGAGGATGGACGAACGCCAGTTGAATATTTTCTTTGATGTGCAAAAGAGCTGTTACCATATCCGAGAAGTACACTTACAGTGCTATCAAATGCATTACCAACGATGATGTCCAATTGAGTATCATTATTAAAGTCACCAACAGCTAGAGATTGTGGATAAGTACCAACTATATATTTCTTTTGATCTGCATAAGAGCCATTTCCATATCCGAGAAGTACACTTACAGTGTCGTCATATGAATTGGAAACGACGAAGTCCAATCGATTATCATTATTAAAATCACCGATAGCTATACATTGTGGATAAGCGCCAGCTACATATTGCTTTTGATCTGCAAAAGTACCATTCCCATAACCGAGAAGCACGCTTACAGTGTTATCAATCGAGTTAACGACAACGAGATCTAATAGTGTGTCGTTGTTCAAATCACAAACAACTACAGATCTTGGATAAGAGCCAGTTGAGTATTTCGTTTGATCTGCAAAAGAACCATTACCATAACCGAGAAGGACACTTATAGTGTTGTCATATGCATTAGCAACAATGATATCCGATCGAGTATCATTGTTCAAGTCACCGATAGCTACAGATCTTGGGTAAGAGCCAGTTGAATATTTCGTTTGATCTGCAAAAGAACCATCACCATAACCGAGAAGAACACTTATAGTGTTGTCATCTGAATTAGCAACAACGATATCCAATCGAGAGTCATTATTAAAGTCTCCGGTAGCTAAAGATATTGGATAAGTACCAGTTGAATATGTCTTTTGATTTGCAAAAGAGAATTCACCATAACCCAGCAGGATATCTATGCTACTTGTGTCATTGTTAATGACGACAATATCTAAACGATCGTCTTTATTTAAATCACTTATGTCAACAAAAATTGAGGAAGAAGATCCAGTTGAATATAATATTGGACTTGCAAAAGAGCCATTTCCATAGCCAAAAAGTAAAGCTATATTATTAGTACTGTTATTGGTAACGACAAAATCCATTCGTTTGTCCTTGTTAAAGTCACCAATACCAATGGCGTATGGCGAAGCATCGCCCAGTGAATATATCATTTGATTCATGAAAGTTCCATTTCCTTGTCCGAGAAGTACACCTACATTCCTATTTCCATAGTTAGCGACGGCAATATCTAGATGAGTGTCCTCGTTTAAATGACCAACAGCAATCGAGTACGGGTGAGAATTCGGACCGGTTGAAAACAAAGTTTGATTTACGAAAGTGCCATTATTGGTTCCAAAGATTATACCTATATTGTTAGTGCCATAATTGGCGATAACAAGATCTATTTGATTATCACCATTGAAATCACCACTAACCACCACAAATGGAAAAGAATCATGACCCATATAGTATGTGGTTGGTGTTGAAAAGCTTCTATTTTCATATCCATAAAATACGCTTACACTATGTGTGCCATAATTAGCGGTAATAATATCTAGTATTGCATCATTATTGAGGTCTGTTACATGAATCCAAACGGGACGAGATGATGCAGTCGATAGAACTATTTGGTTTGAAAAAGATCCATTTTGGAGTCCAAGAAATACGTGAATGCTATTTGTGCCGAAATTTGCGACTGCTATATCCAGTCGACGATCGTTGTTGAAATCACCAACAGCTGCCATGTACGGAGCAGAACCAGAACCGGTCGGATACTTGACTGGACTTTCCAGAGTACCATCGCCATATCCAAAATAGATAGCTATATTGTCAGTAGCAGAATTGGCAACAACAATATCTACCAAATTATCATTATTGAAGTCACCAAGAGCGACAGATCGGAGATCGTTCTTATAGTCAATTGGGTTTGAAGTAGTTGGTTTGAAATGCATTTTACATTTTGGCACTAAGTAACAGAAGCATATACAAAAAAAGACTGATCAACTACTCTGGTTCAACTATCCCTAGTTAATTGTATCAGATTTTCATAAACACAATAAGATTCTACTGAAACTGTGGGATTATTACAGTCAGATTTGAATAAATGCCAGTAATTTTCAATAGAACCTCGCTGAGTCTTCCAGGGTTCATTATTCAGATTACTTGTTACACGCTTTCTTTCATTTATCGGAGAACTCGTTCAAGAAATACATACATAATAACTGAGAAAGACCAGGTATAGCAACTAATATGGTTTAACTAAGGACTATGGATTGGTCGTAATTACATTGTCAAAGCCATTATTATCTCTATCTTGCACGTTCTTTTATAATCTATCATCAGCCACTATAATAACATCATGGCCAAAGTTTCGAACCGTTTCGAAATCAGAAGATTGCCAGTACCATTGTGTTTCAAAAATCTTTTCATTCCGTCACGAATATTTTGCATTGATAATTAACAATAATAATTAGATTATAACTGTGATCGAAGACTCCTTTTCGTCTAATCATACTATATTGTTATAGCGTATGGTCTCCATAGTTGTATAATGAACATTGCTTTTCTCAATGATACGATAACTTTTACATTCTCGTTTCCCATTCTCAGATTCACTCGTGACTAAATACAGATTATCACAGACGTATAGTTATTCGAATATTTTGAGGGCTTGAGAGAGAAAATGCATGTGTTCGTCGTCAGATGATCAATTCGCAAGGATTACTTATGTGTTATTGTTGCAGATAGTGGAAAGCGAAAGATTTCACTAGAATATGATAAAGAAATGAGAACTCACTATAGAATAAGACGGAAAACATATATGATCGATACCGAAAGAAAGAGAAAGAAAACGAATATATTTGAATTTACCAGGAAAGAGAACGTATAAATATATATTCAGGCATGATAGAGGAACGACAGAAGATATAGATGAATACATATATGCTAACATCACAGTAACGATGGAAAGAAAAAGATGATGTATAAATGATAACTACACTTCACAGCTTTCTTAGTACAGATCTTTATTTATGATAACGTGTTGCTCTCATCTTTAGGCAGTATATAGTCAGAAAAAGTAAACAAGATGTAACTCGTGGAGAAATGTTTACTACCATCATGCACTAGAAGAAAATCACTTATATTTTCTTCTATTGTTTCGCATATCTGTTATGTCCAAAAAAATGAATGAGATAGAGAAAAAGAAATCTTAAATAAGCTGCCGTTTTCGTTCAGAGACGTTAAAAAATACTATGAAAAATAATAGAAGAGATAATTCAAGAAAATTTTCTCTATCATCTGTAAAACGTTGAATACGATGAAGTTGATCCTTCTGCGATACGAAGTAACACAGAATAAGATTAGTTTGTAAAAAGATAACTTATGAGCGACGTTTCTTTATTGAGATATGACAAAAAATTGATAGGAAATACAATAATTTCCTTTTTGGAGAAACTTGTTACGCTTGTGTTTCTAGGACAAAGCGGCCAAAGCTAAATTATTCGAGAATTTTTCTCTAGACTTTGAGCTCTATGAATAATAAACTGTGAGCTCCAATAGAGAATATCAGTTGGTGACGCTTCCTTATAAGGAATCATATCTGTCTTGCCATTTTCTGGTCTCACTGGGTCCGATTGAGGGGGAGTGTATTAGTTCTATTGATGATGATCACCTTGGCTGGTTCACTTCTCAGTTCTAATTTGTTACTGAAGAGTGAAGCAGCTATAATGCTTACAATTCTATCTTCGACTGACGATATGCTTCGAGTATATTGGTATCAAATATTATGACGATTTAAGCTTTTTTTTAATCAAAAACATACAATACTTTTAAGAAAGGCTAGATCTTATTGCGTAGTCTTATCGTAGTGAGTACGAAGAATGTAAAACAACAAGAGTTTACCTGATGGTTGTGGTGACGTAAAACAAATTACCAGTATACTGACGACCAGAGCTATACTTGTGATCATAGTCAATATACAGGTAGGTTTGGTAGTTAAATCCAATATTGACCAGTAGTAATATTTCCTAGGAAAGAGCAACAACTATCATATTTTACACCAAAAGATAAGGTCATACATATGGCGTCGGATAGTAAAATGTTTTGTTCTATCGATAGTGTTGTTCTGAATGTTTCTTACATTTTGCGTATTTGAAATTGGCTTTGTCTCGTCGTTTACATCGACTAATGCACTCTGGTTAGAAAGCGAGTCTCTGACCAAATTAGTGTTATCATTCATAGGAACCATTTCAATCTATAAAGAGACAGTTGTTATGAAAGAATATATCTCTGATATGAGCATATACGTATATCTCGAAAAATCGCCAGTTTCTAGAAGAAGCTGTCGATGCAGTAATTGTGCCTAATTCATTCGGTTTATGGATAAGCGTGCAATGTCTCTCTTCTATTTCAACGATAAAAATAATTGCTCGAATACTGCAGTGTATTAAAACGATTATCAAAACTGCTGTTTCGAATGTTTAGTTAACCAGCTGACACTGTTTAAGTTAAAGGTCTAAAACGTGTTTTTATTCATATTTTTTCAAGCAACCAGTGTGAATATTTTCGATCCAAGTCAATTTATGTTTTATCTAAGTTTTTACATATTTGGACGAAATATTTTTGTTCGAGATCAAAATATTATGAACTGATAATATTTCGACAAACTAGATCTTACTGGAATTAAACAGTCTGAGAGAATTTATGTTTGTCCAGCTCTCTTTTTGAGTTATGATAATTTTTAATACTCTTGAATTTAATATAAAAGGCAAAAATATTAATACAATAAATATAGTGGCAAAATTTTTTGAATAAATATGTAATTTAATTAATTCGACGTTTTGATCTTCTATGAGATCATTTTCTAGAATACCACGAATTTGTACTATAATGTTGAATAGTACTTATAACCTAGAAAGGTATGGGCCGTATCGATTAGTCCAGTAAGAGAAAGGAGATGATAGTCTTTAAACGTGGGAAGAAGACTTTTTGAGTGTAGCAGCAAATTTTAGACTCATCTCTCCAAAAAACTTGTCAATTTTCACCAAGAAGCTATCCTATTAATACTTCTGCTATCAATCAGGGTCAATTTAGACCCTGTTCTTAGAAAATAAAGAGAAAATATTTCTTTTTAATTCTCAAGTTAGAATAGTTCAAACAAATGTCACAGATGTTCAACATTTGTATGTAAAGAGCATAGTGTAAAGCGCATCTTTTGTACTATTTGCTCTAAATAAATAAACAATATCCATATCATCTTTTTCATGGACCTAGACGGGTGAATAATATTGTTTCAACTAGTATCCTTATTAGAAAACAAAATAAATTACTCTGCTGATAATGCATATTAGTTGTTGTGTCTAAAATAGGTTTAGGAGTACGAGTGTTAATAAAGCTTGATTCTTAACATTTTTCTATTAGTATAAAGTCTGTGAGACGTATCAAAATTAATTGACAAAAAAAAGTGAATATGCACTCGAATTTGATTAAATTTGTAATAAATATTTTCATTTCAATCACAGTTCTAGTGTGTAAGAGATGACGAAGAAAATTTCCAATTTTTCTTCTAAAAAAGAATTCTTGTCAGTAAAATAAGAAAGGATGTGAAACATTATCTGTTCTCGTAGTATGAATTCTTTTTTATCTTTTCCACTTTTCTCTGCTGAAATATGGATTTCAAATTTCCATTCCTGTTCACTAGATAAGAAATACTTTCAACTGTATATCGATTACAAAAAAATAAAAAATGAAAACCTTAAAAAACCGGTATCGTGATTCGCGAAAGAAAAAATTGTCTTAAAGACTTTCATTTGTATCTTTTTTTAATGGTTGCTAACGGAAAATCTACAGAGACTACAATTTAACATAGAAAGTTAGCTCTTAATATGTTGTTTTGAACGTTTTTTATTACAGCGGATAAAACATTAATCATCGACATTACGGCTTGTTGTTGATTACTCACATCAATAGAATAAGAAAGCAAATCGTTACAATAGCACATCAGTCAAGATTATAGATTTCTTGAAAAGATAATTGGAAGAAAAACAATGCCTACGAATGCTTTGAAAGGAACAAAAAAAGGTATGAATCATCAATCTATGAGATTACTCACCTAAATACCTATTGAGATAAAAGCTTGAGTACCTATATTCTACAAAGTATATACAGCAGCTATCAGAGTAGTTTGTATATATGCTAAGCAACATATCCACATCTGAGTAATTCAAACATCAGCCACGAATCTTAGTATTCTTGCGCACTAGACATCAATTTCTCTATAGATCACAACTGCCTCAGCTCAAAGAGTATCACTTGATCAGTATTAGCTGACTATTTTTAGTAAAAAAAATAACCCTGTCCAACACTCATCATTTGTAATTTTCTATGCAAAGATAGATTTTTCATGCAACAGTAAGCGTTACATACCTCATCCATATTGGATACCATCGTTCACCTATGTATTTGTGTACACTTTTGAGCAATCGAGCAATTTGCGTTGCTACTGTTTGTTTACCACGGAGAAAAAATTATTACAAGTTATATGAATAATCTCTAAATAAAAAAGAAATTGCTTTAGCATTTATTTTCTATGATGAATTATTGAATAGTCTGAATATAATCGATATTTTTAATTTTCGTTTGTTTTCAGTGTACAATAGGGAACAACTTTCGAATTCTCTTTCTAATAATATGTAACGTAAAGTTGTCTACAAAATGGTATAAAAGGTTTTATTAAGATATTATCAGATATATGTAGAGTATTCTAAACTATCTCGAGTATTATTTATCACATTTTTCTATGAACCTTTATTTAACTGAAGACCGACTTCAATGTAGCGTGTAAATTAGTAAAAATCATTTCATATCATTATTCTTATAATGAGAAAGACCTGCGTTAGCAATCTTATAAAAAAATGGGTGGCTAAAAAATTGATAGATCTTGTTTTCTGATCAGAAGTGTGCTTACATTGATGATACTTACAAGAAACTGCATGATGAAATTTACACTTCTATACAGGAAGATCAGATGATGAAGGTGATATTCATCGAAAAGCATATTTTTTTTTCTCTGATACTATGATCTAGTTAGAGGTTTATTACGTAAGAGTTACATGACCAGTGATCATCTAGGAAACTACGATTAATAATGAACGATACATAGGTAAAATTTTAAGTGTAGCAATGAAATACGGTGAAAAATGTTTCACAACGATTTCATCTTTCAACAAGACGATACTCTCGCACCCAGACATACAACGAAGCAACAATAATGTGTGAAACATCTTTCCGACTTTTAGACGGACGGTCTTTGCCTTGCAAACAGTTTAGTTCTCAGCCTGCTGGAGTTTTGTATAGGAGATCAATAGGGCTAACAAATAGATCACAGTCATATAACAAACAGACAGTAATCTATCAATGAAATAAAACAAGAAGTCGAAAAGATTCAACTGCAAGTCGTGCTTCGCAGTATTTTTAGCTAAAACAATTGATTTTTTTTATTGGAGAAAGTATTTACGATGATTACAAGTTCTCGAATCGTTGCTATAACATAATTAGATCAAATGAAACGTACATCTTATCTCTACCTTTCCTTGATTACGGGAATATTTGTCAGTTTGAAAACAAAGAGATGTTCAGATTAATATTTTTTACTTCGTACATTTGAATATTCTTACATTGCTGATTAATTTATAAAGAGTAGGAATAGATATTCATGTGGAGTTGTTGTTTTCTTCAGAATGCAAAGAGACTTTCAGAGAAACAGATTACTAGTCCTAGAACACAGGACAATCGTTATATCACTAATCAAACGAAGAGTAATAGATAAAAATAATTTTTCTTCTATTCAAAGCCTAATAAGACATTTTAGATATGAAAATTTTGTTTTTCTTTCTGATAAAAGACTTGAAAGATACGTAGTGCTTCTAGTATCTTGAACATAAACTAAAAATATAGTAACTTTTTAGTAGGGATACTTTTTTACGTCCAACTTATAGACATTGATAATATCTGTCATCATTTATAAGGGTATTTCGACCAAGAAACAGTTGTCGGAAGCATGAAAATGTTGTGTCAATTCTAGAAAGTATTTGACTTCTCACAATAGACTGAATAAGTTTGTTTTCGCTCCATTTGTGAGCTTCCCACCTGAACTACGGTCTCTTCGAACTGCGCTTGATTATGTCAGCAGTTGAAAACCAATGCATAGTTTGCGTGTTTGTCTGGTTGATGAGAAGATAAGGATGAGCTAACCAAACAACGCAGAGGAGACTGCTCTACGCGTATCAATGAACAAAAGGAAACGTGTTGTTGTTATTCATTACATTCATGCTCTAGAAATGGAACTGGTACTAGTACGAATGTCAGACCAGTTGATCTGCCAGTAGACCGATCATTACTCTTAGGCCGACAGATAATCGGTACATCGGCCATATCTACTTTCCAATTCTTTTAATATAAGCTTATACTCAAAACTTCTATTGATCTTCATAGTCACTTATGAAAAATGTATAATGACAGTTTACTGAAAATTGACTATGTCAAATAACATTACCCCAAAAGGTGACAGATATGAAATATCGTTTGTAGTAGTTTCGTTTCAGATATCAGGTCGACCATTTACTCGTAGACTAATTGATTGCCAATAGACCAGTTGGTCCTTTTGATCTAACCCAAAACGAATTATTATCATCTCGAAAAATTGTCTGGTCGAATTATATCAAATGGAACTGTATGGAACGTGTTTTTTGAAGTACTTAACAGTTCTAAACAACTGTATCTAGCAGATGGCCCATAATAAATGGACCTCTCAGCATTTTGCATATTTCTCACCTATAATTCAGCATAGAAAAAAAAATTTTTGTTTATAAACAGATGCCTTGTGAAATTCTCTACAAAACGTGGATGTTTTTATTATCGTAAATAGTTTCATTATTTTGTGACATGCTATACAATCGATTGTTCAAAGAA